AACTGGACTGTGAATATACCCAGATAAGGCAGCAGGATGGACAGTTTTACCTGTATCATGTAAAGGAATGAACTCTTGGCTCACATTTTAATAAGATATATCAAGAATCAGCAAACTCATTGATTTACCACCAATTTTATTTTTATCCCAAAATGTGATATTTTATGCTATTTTACTCGATGTTTTTCTTTTCTTATGCTTTCTGGCAAATACTGAGTTGTGAAAATGCATTGCTATTTCAGCTTACACTTTACTGTTATCAAGCATTCTGTAAATATATTTAATTTGGTTTGCTTTGCTTGTGTAATTTTACAATGTTGGGTTATTTTGTTTGTGGTTATAACTTTTTAGAGTCGCGATTGAAAAACAAAGAAAAACACAATGCAGGACATGATAGTGTAAAAATTCCACAAAAACACATGCACACATACTGTACATCATCATCAACTTCCACATGTAAGACAATAAACATGTTAAAGTATCATTTAAAGGTCAAGGGGTTAAGCAATCTCTTCATATCATAATGTTCAGTGTTTACCATTTGATATCCTCAGACAATGAGATGTAAGTCAGTAGTACCGTGTAGACCTTTGTTAACGACATAAAAAATGTGTATTTTCTTGTACAGATGCAACTAATGATGAGAAGGGATCGACGTATACATGTAATAATATCTCTGCCGTAGTAAACTTTTTGTACTGAACTATAATAACGAAATATAAGAGTATATATTAGAATATTCTGTCAGATTTTTTAGATGAAATAATCACATCCTTGCCAACTTTCGTGATTCAGTCGGGAGTTTGCCGATTTCAGCCTCCCTTTCTTGTGCCCAGATCATATTGGTAAAAATTAGGTAAACTTTAAATTGATATAATCTTACTATATTCTGATATACAGTTATCATAAGAGTTCCGAATAATGGTACAATATCCACTCTCTAAGTCTGCTTAGCTTTAGTATGAAAATATACAGGTAAATAACATGTCTTGAGACTAGGTGGTGATCATGGACACACACCTGTGTCCAGGTGTGTCAAGGTGTTCAGCCAGGTATATGTATAACATGAAAGGAATGGCAGCACCTGCTGAAATTGATATGTTTCTTCAAAATAACATGTTAAGCAGATATCGAAGAGTTCACATGATTGATTTGTTAGTTGTTATTCGTCTCATATTTGTTAATTTTCACAGCTTTTCCGTATCCTTTTGTGTTTAAGAAGTTTGCATAGAAATCTATGATTTTCACTTGTTTTATAATACCTCTACGCAACACAGTGTACCGTCACTGTTGAAATAAAACCAATTAAAAAACTACCACATTATATGAGACTTTGAGCTACCAGAAAAAAACGAAGCATGGACAGGTAATCAAACTCACCTGTAGCCAAACGCACTCTGCAACAATCGTATCGAGAGGTGAAAATCGCTTCAGGTGCTTTTTACGTCAAAATATAGAGGCCTGCAATATCTTGATGCCGATGACTTTTAAGTGGACAAGAAATTTTATGGTAGTAACATTAACATCAAACTACATAGCTACCCTTTGTTACCTTTGACCTTGTATTATAGTGAAATCCTTTTGAAATTCTGCGGTACTGTGATTGCGAGAAATTCAGATTGACTGTCAATAGCAGAAAGCTATGTATGTAATACTGACCAGAGTATGAAGTGGTATGGCAAAATGTATTTACAAAATATCATCATTATTTTGCATGCATATTTTTTGCTCGCCAGAAAGTCAGTGGACCAAAATGTTCAGGTGAGCTTTTACACGCCCATTTGTAAAACACTAATTTTAATTATGGTTTTGAAAGAGTTCTTCTATAAAACTATTTGGTGTTGAGTCAAGATATTTGCCTGTAGAAAGATACTTGAAGAAAGCACATCAAAAATAAATGACTTTGACACATATTCAAGGTCAATTTGATCAAACTTGGCCAAACAATCAAACAAAATGGTCTAATCAGTGAAATTGTCTTTAAATAAATCTTGATAATTGGCTAGATTAAAGGTTCTGAGGCAGCTGCTTGATGTCCAGGAAAACTAGTAACTTTGACCTATAGTTCATAGTGGTCAAACTTGTTATGAGAGTTATGCCCCTTCCGCAGAATTCTCCCAATATCCTGGCTAGCTCAAGTTTCACTCTTGTGCCATAAATCCACTTTAGAAAACTCTCTGACTCAGACTTCTCTATATGAAAGCATTAAGCACAGCTGGAGACATTATGTATGCTTGAGAATAAAATTTGTTCTTGAATTTTGAGTGAATGTTCTCCAACTGTCAAACTGTTACTGAATAAACTTCAGCTCTTTTTTTAGTTACCATTAGATTCAAACAAGTTCAACAGTCCTCATATTTCATATCAGTACATGATATATCTAAAATCTAAATGGTTTTTAAAGAAATGTAGGTCACAGTGACTCAATCACTTTGAATAGATATTTCTTTTTTATCTGATACTGGTATTATTTGGTCATTTTATGGGGCAGGGAAATCTTTCCTCAGAACATTACACTGGAAGATACAAGCAGTTTAAGTGGTAATGGTATGAGTGTATCTACTTCAGCATCAAATTATATTTTTAACATCACATTCATGATGATTTAGAGTAGTTGAGATTCAAATGTACCCCAGCTACAGAAACTGTTTCCATCCAGTCTGTGTTAATTTAGCTATATGTAAAACACTTATATACAGTGATAACAGACATATACAACAACACTAGTCAGCCACAGGTAAATGACACATGTATACAGGCAGTTCTCTATATACATAGCGTCATTCACTTTATCAAAAGTCAGCCCACTGTGAGCCTTCGTTTCCCTGTCTGGATGTTATGTCTGGGCCTAATAATCTATTTAAAGTATATACAGCTTAATTGTACAAGGAAGAAATTTTTAAATTCAATTTTTTTGCATGATTTTAAAATTTTGCATATTTTTTCTTTCTGAATTATGTTTCAAGGCAACCGTTAGGAATATTTACTTAAAATGCATGGTTTTCAAGTGATGGTGAGTAATGCTTAATAGGAGTATTTACTAAATATAAAAAAGCTGTTTGGACAAATCGTTGAAATCATACCTGGTTGAGTTCAATGTACGCTGCACAACTTAGCATTGCAGTGCAGTGTTGTGTCTGGCTGAATGCCTATATACACCTGATGTAAGTGTACATTATGTTCGCATTTGTTTTTCCTATGTCTGGGAATACTCACATAAATCAACATATCGATTTAGCGTTTTAGCCAATCCAATGAAAAGTTAGTGGGATTTTTGACATTGTATTACACCAATACACCTGCTGAGATTTCTAACACCTTCAACTCAATCATTAGAGAGCTTATACACCAATCGATTCTTGAAATATAAGTATTCAATAAATCATATGTTTTAGGTAAAAATGGTGGCCATCTTGAAAATCTACTCCTCCTGAATTACAGAGAGAATAAGCTGTTATGAGATTAAGAAATAGCAATAATTGATATTGAATGTTTAAAGTGTCCTTATGATATTTAGATAGTTAGTATATGTTTTATTCATGATTAGTCTATAGTCATTGAAATTAGTACTGTAGAAAAAGTTTCCTTTTTCAATTTAGGAGAGTGATATTTTTGGAGAGGAAATGTCACAAAGTGTCTCATTTTTTCCATTTGTTTCAGCACTGCTTGTTTAGAAAATAGCAAGTTGTTTAAGATCCTTCTTCTTCGGAAATCCCTGGATGCTTTCACAATTTATCTGAAGTAAATTAAAAGAAGAATCAAATTTGTTGGTCTCTTCCCCCAGGGGCAACAGGGGTGGGGGTCAAATAGAAGAAATAGGCCAATTTCTGTAGGAATGCCAGTATTCTGTCCCAACGTCATCTGAAGCATCCTAGGGTGAAGGGAAACAATTTTGTTTAAACTGCGGGACATACGCCAAACCCCCACCCCTTCTCTCCTTGGCCAGAGCCTAAGGACCCAATAAGGGAAGTAGTGCAGTTTCTTAAAAATCCTTATTCCTGAAAACTTCACGGATTCTGTCCAAATTTTTTGCAAAGCATCTTTGGGTGAAGGGGGAACCATTTCTATAAATGCTATGTCTTAATTGGCCCTCTTGTACAGAACATACAGGGCCAAATAAAGGAAATAGAACAAACTCTTTATAATCCTTCTTCTTTTGTATGATTGCGAAGATTTTGGTCTGATGCATCCTTTGGTGAATATAAATCAGTTTTGGATAACTGATGGGTCTACTTCCTTTAGCCATTAGGGGAAATAGAGGAATCATTAAAACCTTTCCTTTTCTGTTAGGATGCAGACATTTGGAGCAAATTTTGTCAGAGGCAGTCTTTGTTGAGGTGGCACCAATTTTGTAGAAATAATTCTCAGCCCCCTGGAGAACAAGAGGGACTGATCCAAATAGGATATATTAGCAAATTATTTAAGATCCATCCTCTTTATTAGGAATGATTTTTGTCCAAATTTAGAATGAAGTAGTTTTTTTGGTGAAGGGCACTCAATTTTGTAGAAAGGTAAAGGCTTAAATCCCTTTTAGGGACTAGGGTCAGGGTCCAATGGGAACTAGTAAAATCACTTTAGTCCTCCTAATGATGGAATGAAGATATTTTGATCAGATTTGTTCATCAGAAGCATCTTTGAGGGGAACAATACCCAATTTGGGGGAAAATGTTTAGGTAGTAATATATGATTGTAAATAAAATAATTTTGAAGTGAAAGTTGAAATATCCAGGTGAGCAACACAGCCCCATATGCCTCTTGTCTTAATATTTTCATACCAAGCTTATAGCTCAAGAGTGTATTTCAGTGCAATTGTAGATTACATAATTTGTATTAATATAAGGTAGATTAAATTTGCTAATACATTTCTTGTATTTCATACTGTAATTTTGATTTACAAGTGATGTTATTTGCATAGTTAAACTAATGTAGTCATTTTCTTGTCACTTTATTATTAGATTTGAATGATAATTATGGTAAAAGTGAATTTTATCTTTTACCAGATCTGCCCCACCCTGGTTCAATGCCCGAGACAACGACATCCCAATCACAGGCTGTGTCCAGTACTTGTGACTCTCAACCACATGGTCTCAACTCACCTCCTAATGGGATCCATTCCCCTCAACAACAGAATCTGCCTGAATCAACGACCAACCCTCCTGTCGACCGAAACCACCTGTGTCCAACCTGTTCAAAGGGCTTCAAAAGTAAACAGCAGCTTGCACAGCATAGTTTGGTCCACTCTGGAATACGAAAATATATTTGTTCCTACTGCGACAAAGCCTTCAAGCAACTGTGTCATTTACAGCAGCACACACGCATACATACAGGTAATTATATCAGGTAAACAGGAAATGAAACAAATACAGATAATGATAGATATCAGGTTCAAAGGTGAAAACTAATATCAGGTTAACAGGTTATCATATTATGTACACAGGTAATTATATTATGTACATAGGTAATCATTTTATGTACATAGGTAATCATTTAATGTACACAGGTAATCATATCATGTACACAGGTAATCATATTATATCAGGTATATAGGTAATTATATCAGGTAAACAGGAAATGAAACAAATACAGATAATGATAGATATCAGGTTCAAAGGTGAAAACTAATATCAGGTTAACAGGTAATCATTTAATGTACACAGGTAATCATATTATGTACACAGGTAATCATATAATATCAGGTATATAGGTAATTATATCAGGTATATATGTAATTATATCAGGTATATAGGTAATTATATCAGGTATATAGGTAATTATATCATGAACAAAGGTAATTATATCAGTTGTATATATAAATATATCCGATGAATAAGTAAGTATATCAGGTATATAGGTAATTATATCAGGTATATAAGTTATTATATCAGGTTTATAGATAATTATATCATGTATATAGGTAATTATATCATATACAAAGGTAATTATATCATGTATATAGTTAATAATATAAGATATATACGTAATTATATCAGGTATATAGATAATTATATCAGGTATATAGGTAATAATAACAGATATATAGGTAATTATATCAGGTATATAGGAAATTATATCAGGTATATAGGTAATTATATCAGGTATTTAGGTAATCATATCAGGTATATAGGTTATTATTTCTTGAACAAAGGTAATTATATCAGGTATATAGGCAATTAGATCAGGTAAGCAGGTAATTATATTAGGTATGTAGGTAATTATATCAGGTTATTATATCAGGTATATAGGTAATTATATCAGATATATAGGTAATTATATCAGGTATATAGGTAATTACATCAGGTATACAGGTAATGATATCAGGTATATAGGTAATTATATCAGGTTTATAGGTAATTATATCAGGTATACAGGTAATTAAATCAGGTATGTATGTAATTATATCAGGTATACAGGTAATTATATCAGGAGTATCGGTAATTATATCAGGTATATGGGTACTTATATCAGGTATATAAGTAATCATATCAGGTATATAGGTGATTGCATCAGGTATACAGGTAATTATGTCAGGTATATAAGTAATTATATCATGTATATAGGTAATTATATCAGGTATATATATCAGGTATATCAGGTAATTATATCAGATATATAGGTAATTATAGGTAAGTATATCAGGTATATAGGTAATTATGTCAGGTATATAGGTAATTATATCAGGTATATAGGTAAGTATAGCAGGTATATAGGTAATTATATAGGTTTATAGGTAATTATATCAGGTATATAGGTAATTATATCAGGTATACAGGTAATTAAATCAGGTATATATGTAATTATATCAGGTATACAGGTAATTATATCAGGTATATGGGTAATTATACCAGGTATATAAGTAATTATATCAGGTATATAGGTAATTATATCAGGTTTATAGTTAATAATATAAGATGTATAGGTAATTATATCAGGTATATAGATAATTATATCAGGTATATAGGTAATTATATCAGGTATATAGGTAATTAAATCAGGTATATATGTAATTATATCAGGTGTATAGGCGATTAGATCAGGTATATATGTAATTATATCAGGTATATAGGTAATTATAGGTAAGTATATCAGGTATATAGGTAATTATATCAGGTATATAGATAATTATATCAGGTATATAGGTAATTATATCAGGTTTATAGGTAACTATATCAGGTTTATAGGTAATTATATCAGGTACATAGGTAATTGTATCAGGTATATAGGTAATTACGTCATGTATATAGGTAATTATATCAGGTATATAGGTAAGTATACCAGGTATATAGGTAATTATATCAGATTTATAGGTAATTATATCAGGTATATAGGTAATTATATCAGGTATATAGGTAAGTATACCAGGTTTATAGGTAATTATATCAGGTACATAGGTAATTGTATCAGGTATATAGGTAATTACGTCATGTATATAGGTAATTATATCAGGTATATAGGTAAGTATACCAGGTATATAGGTAATTATATCAGATTTATAGGTAATTATATCAGGTATATAGGTAATTATATCAGGTATATAGGTAAGTATACCAGGTATAGGTAATTATATCAGATTTATAGGTAATTATATCAGGTAAGTAGGTAATTATATCAGGTATATAGGTAATTATAGGTAAGTATATCAGGTATATAGGTAATTATATCAGGTATATAGGTAAGTATACCAGGTATATAGGTAATTATATCAGATTTATAGGTAATTATATCAGGTATATAGGTAATTATATCAGGTATATAGGTAAGTATACCAGGTATATAGGTAATTATATCAGATTTATAGGTAATTATATCAGGTAAGTAGGTAATTATATCAGGTACATAGGTAATTATAGGTAAGTATATCAGGTATATAGGTAATTATATCAGGTACATAGGTAATTATAGGTAAGTATATCAGGTATATAGGTAATTATATCAGGTACATAGGTAATTATAGGTAAGTATATCAGGTATATAGGTAATTATGTCAGGTATATAGGTAATTATATCAGGTATATAGGTAAGTATATCAGGTATATAGGTAATTATATCAGATTTATAGGTAATTATATCAGGTATACAGGTAATTAAATCAGGAGTATCGGTAATTATATCAGGTATATGGGTAATTATACCAGGTATATAAGTAATTATATCAGGTACACAGGTACTTATAGCACGTATACAGGTAGATATAAATATCAGGTACACAGGTATCAAAGATTATGTGTAACCTTTTAGCAAATAATAAAAATCTGCATATATTCATTTGTGCATAGATAAGTTATTACACATGTGTTTCTTCACAGCTGGTATTAAATTCTCTTTATTTATCCTGTGAAGCTGCTTCTGTACCACAATAGGTATTTACATTGTAAATCATAGCCTGTTTGTAAAATACTTTCATCTCTAAATCAATAAGAGTGCAGCTGTACTTAACATGGCTGATTTACCTATGTTAATGTATTCCCAGCAGCCGAACAGAACAGATAAAGATCTTCATCAAATATGCCATTATTCAGGTAGTGGTTCATACAGATGGAGAAAGGAACTGGATGAGTGTTCAACAATCCCACTACATATAATACTGTATAGATTTTTAACTTTGATTGGCTACTTTTTCGTGTTTGTACTTGTTAATAGGGATTGAATTTTTGGGATTTATAATGGTATCCATAGTAACAGGATTATAACATAAATTTTCAGGAGATTTTGATCTATTATAGAAAATATTTCTGGGACGTTTAATTTCCTGCTATCTTTAATGATAGAGAATTTAGCAGAAATTTATTCCCAGCAGTATTCCTAACTATATTTGTGGTGTTTGGATTTCTTTATGTAAATGTTATGTATTAATTAATAATATTCAATGATTAAATAAGTATTTATATAATAATACTAATTTTTATGTTAATGACCGAAGCGACTAAACATCAATTGATCTGAGTACATTGTGACTAAATTAAGTTTTCTGATCACACGAGAACGTTGTACAATGTTTACTTGCTGAAGTATACGCAACTGAATCACAATTTAAGACATCTGCAAATGCGTTGGCCCCCATTTTATTTGAATCACTATTAAAAACACTAATCACTTATCGTCTACCTTTTCCTTAAGTAGCTAGCTACTTACCAGATTATTCATAGGCTTGTTGCTGATGTATTGTGGAGTAAGCAGTCGATAACGTATGGTGCCATAGATATATAGTTTTAAACAAGAAACCATAAACACGCCAGAAACTTATCAACTACTTTTTCCTGAAATGACAAGTATGTACAGGTATTATTTATAGGCTAACTGCTTATGTACTGTGGAGCAAACAGTCGATAAAAAACCATGGTACCTTAACTGGATATAGAATATAAAACCAAAAACAAGTAAATTCTTAATCACTAAAACCAAACTGATTCATCTGAATGTTGATTTCAATATCAGGGGAGTTTGTATTCAGCAGTATGTATCAGTTTTATAAAAAGAAAAAGACAGATTTCATGCATTGTAATAATAATAATGATAATTTTATAGGTATCAATATCTAGATCAATATCGCTGATGCAAGATAGAATCCCACAACACAATAATATCAATGAATATATGACTAACGCAATAAAAGAATAATCTGCATACATGGTAATAATATAATGTACAGTTGACTACACATCAACAAATCACTTCTTCTAGTGAACCATGAGGTCTAGAGTCAGTCTTGATAAAATTATTATGAAGTAAAACCTCTCATTTTATCAGCATGCATAAATATATTTTGAACTCTGTATCTAAACTGAATGCATGTATCATTGCAAAACCAGCTTCTAGTCTGTACAAATACCTCAGCTGATTTTTTAGCTTTATATCTATAAAATGTTCAGTATCTTTGTACAGATTTTTTCTTTACAGTTATCCCTGTCACTGGGGTGCATTACCAAGAGCAAAAGTATTTTAGGTAGACTTAAACTCTGCATGGAAAATATATATATATATATTTCAGCAGCATAATTCTGCAAATTCCTGTGCTTTAAATCAATAAACTAGGAAAAAACACATGCCTTTTCAGCTACACAGTACTGGAGTTTATTCATTGACAAATGTCTGAGAAATAAAACAGATTTCAGAAATCACAGAATATTATTTGTACCAGTAGTTTTCTTGTATTAGGACATACACAGGTTGGTAGTAACGAATGTGTTTCTCAGATCCCAAGGGTTATGAATTGTGCTGCAACCTTCTCATGTTGATGCCTTTGTAATGGAACCATTTTCCTAATCAATAACCACCATAGCATGAATTCCGATCCTCGTCTCTTAATTAGGATCTTTAGGAGATTCTACAATGTATTACATGTATACCTTGTGTGGGCTAATTTCTAGAGATTCGGATAGAGCAGGACTTTTTAAATTGTATATCACAGCATTTCCCACAGTATAACTGTCCTTAGGTGGTTCTCTTTTAAAATAGAAATGCTGAGACACGAAATGTTACAAAAAATTTCTTTCTGCGATTAACTATGCTTTATTTGTCAAAATGTGATGGATGTTCCCGTTGCCTGAACTCACTATTTAATTATTTTGATGCATTTAAGAATAAAAATTTCTGACTCGTGTCGTCTGCTGAAATTCATTTATATATTTGTTTTCTCCTGTTGTTTTTTATTTTTTTGCACAATTATTAAATATAACATCATTAATGGAATTTCTTGTTTCTTGTGGGTTTTTTTCATTTTACAAAGAATTTTCAACTCATCTGTAGGAATTATTTGAATTGCCCTATTTTTATTCTGAAGCATCCTTGGATGAAGGGGAATTAATTTTGTATAAATGGTAGGTCACTACTCAGTAGGACAGGAGAGGTGGGGCACAATAGGGAATTAAAACAAATTCTTTAAAATCCCTCTTCTTCTGTAGGAACAATTACATTTTGTCGAAATTTGGTGAAAGCCTGGTGGGCAATATTCAAGCCCTATGGGCCTTTCTTTCAATCACTCGTACACTTTGAATTGAAGCAGCTGAGGATTTTAGATTTGAAGTCAGAATATCTTTTAAGAAATATGTTTCAATGACCAGCTAGCTGCCATTATATACTTTAAAATCCTTGATATTCTCACGTTTCTAATACAGTGGTTCTCTGTGAAAATATGTTTTCCTTGACGTTTGATTTTATGTATAATAATACGAAGATGGTATAGGTTTTCCGAATTGTTTGTCATTTTGTTGACTTAATTTCATTCATTTAATTACCCATGAAATCATCAAAGATGAAACCTTCTAGAAAATTAGTGATTTTACAAGAGGCTACATAATATAAAATGATAATTTATAAAATTACATTATCCTATATGTAATGTATACAGGACATGCTATTTAGAACTACCTGTATGTTATAATGAAGAATTAGGAATCATATCGTGACAAACTAAATACAACCATTTGTAAACTAGCCACTTTCACCCCCATGTTGGGCTATTCATGTACGAATGTGTGATTAAAGTTTTTTATTGATGATTTATCTAGTCAAAGCACAGGGCAGTGCTTTTTTCAGCTTCCTGAGAAACACAAACTGCCACAATGTTGAATTTAACGGGATCATCGAAACTTACACAATTTGGATGTTAACCACTTGAGGTGTTAAAGTCTAATATGCTATCAACTGAGATATCGCAACCCTCTTTTGGATAGGAAATGCATATATCAGTTATAAGTATCATAATTTTTAAAATCATTGTTTTTTTTAATCATGTTTTTGTCTATTACAGGAGAAAAACCATACAAGTGCTCATTTGAAGGTTGTGATCGAGCTTTTGCACAAATGGCAAACCTTCATCATCACATGCGCAATCATGATGATCATCTTAAGAAGGCAGCGACCAAACAATACCATTGTATGATATGTCATAGAGCTTACACAAACGAGAGCAGTCTAAAATCCCACACACTTAAGGTAAGCTCCAAACAATACGACATATGATATGTCATAGAGCTTACACAAACGAGAGCAGTCTAAAATCCCACACACTTAAGGTAAGCTCCAAACAGTACCATTGTATGATATGTCATACAGCTTACAAATATGAGAGCAGTCTCAAATCCCACACACTTAAGGTAAGCTTTAAACAATACCATTGTATGATATGTCAGACATATAACTGGCTGGTAACATCTTACCAATATGTAAGTGCAAACTTTTGAGAAAGAGTAAATCTTGACTCGGAATTTATACGACCTGGTAACACTTTAAAATTCCATAGTTATTTTGCAGTAAACAAGGTGATTTAATGCTGTAGTTCAAAATCATTCAGTGAGGTTATTATTACAGGACAATGAAATCTTCTTCTGGTAGAACAGTGTTATATATCATTAGGCTTGTTTCAAGGTATGGGCTTATCATTCCTAGGTAATAAATAATTAAACGAAATTGTAAAGAAAAGCAACCCCTGTGAGGCTCGGTTTCCTAGTAGCAGCCACTGGTAAATATCACCCACAGTTGTCATGTTTTGTCCTTACTGGCAAGCTGTCCTCAGGGCATAGTTAGGTTAGTAACGTCATCAATGAACTTTTACAATTAAAATCTTTTTTCTTGGTCTTAAAGGGATAATTTTCTCAAGTTAAAAAAATGTTCGATGCTTTGTAGCTTTTGAGAGCTGATTCTAATGACTTTTATAGAAATAGTTGACATTAAAATATCTCTCCTTTGGTCAACAGGAAAATTTGGTGGGAATACTCCCAGCCAAACTCTCTAAATATAGCCCATTGGGAAATCTGAAATAGAAAAGTCACTGGATCAAATATTTTATGCAGAGTATTGGTAAAATAAAAAAAAAAATTACACACATATATCATTCTGTTCGTCTTATAGCAATGCAAACCAGTTATGACACAATCAGGGCTGTATGCATGTTTTTAAATTTCAATAGATTAAATGTCAAATGTTTGTTTAAATGGTAAATTGAGGTGTACGTTTTCCATAAGAAGAGAGGTAGATGATTTTGTACAGATTCTATGCATTCTATGAAATTCTAACTTGTGTGGAATGTCCCTTTAAATAGAGAATAAAGTGGATGAGTTACCTTTGTGACCATGTATGGGGATTGATATAGGAACACAATGTTGTAAATATAGAAAAGAGTTGTCAACAGTTTAGCTAGCATACATGGTACAGCAGCTATTACAGTATAACATCTATCCTAATCCAGGCATCAAGATCTAGATCTAAAAAATAGTTTTGACTTGGCCAATCACAGTTAACTTCATGCAAAGAGACATCATGTTTGATTGGCTGAGCAAAATTTTAAGTTTGAATTGTTCCATGATCTCTAGGTCAGAACACTTGGTTTCGTTTTAGGGTCCCACCCATAGAATTGATAATTAAGTTAGAAGTAATTGGCAGGAAACCTAATCATGGATACACATAATTTATTTTGGAGTCCTCGAGAGAATATGGTTTTTCTATGGAGTTGCCCTGGGTTAGGATGAAAAGTTAGAAAATTAACGGAATAGTTAACTATTTTCATATTGTAAGTATGTTGCCTGACAATGCATTGAGCGACACAGGTAGAAAATATGTTCGAAAAAATCAAAAGTCATGGAAAAGATTGTTCATATAAACTGAAAATTTCTGTATATTAGAGGTGATCTCTGAAGAAGAAATGGTCCATGTATTAGAATATTTCAGTTCCAGTTTGTTGCCACAGCTGAGTGGTTCAGGTGTCTTACTGTCTTTATCATTGGTTCTCCACCTTAGGGTCATGGGTTCAAGGCGTAGGCATGGCAGTTGTAAAGTATTAGCGGCAGGTCAGTGGTTTTTCTTGGTAACTCTGGCTTTCCTTTACCACCCAAACCTGGCACATCTTTAAATGAACTTAGCTGTTAGGATGTAGTGCAACAACATATTAAAAAAGTCTTCAAGTTTAAATGTTATTTTATTTGATGATTTTAGATGCATGTACACATCAAACCATTGGAACAAAGGATCACAGGACTGCCTACTAAGCCTAGGAAACCTAGACAGCCCAAGATGAAGGACAGTACTTCACCTGTGATGGCTATCGATCTCACTTGTGATGATGGCAGCGACAGCAAAGTAGACATTTTCAGTAGAGTTCAGAATGACAGTAAGATAGACATTTTCAGTCGTGTGCAAGCTCTTCAGAGAAATGAAGACTTCTCTCGAATAAATTCTTTTCAAAGGACAGATTTTCAGAGATCTGATAGTTTACACAGAGATGATTTTCGTAGGGTTGATAATCTACAGCGGGCAGATAGTTTTCCACGTAACGAAGCTTTACAAAGGGCGGATAATTTTCAAAGGGCAGACAGCTTATCACGTGATTTACAGCGTGGGGACAGTCTACAACGTGAATCACTCCATCGCTCAGACAGCTTACAAAGACTTGCTGGACTTGACTCGTCCTTGCAGCTTCGAACAGATAGTCGTCAACATCAGCACTCATTAGGAATGTCTGCTAATTCACCAGTATCCCGGGTGATACCAAATGTACCTAGGTGCATGACTTTGTCAGAACGGCTCACTGACACTCCAACAAATAACAAGAACTTGACAGCATCAGAACTTCTCCATGCGGAGTCTTCGTCAACACGTTCAGACTTGCAACAAAGTCTCCCTGCTCATACTAATGTTGATCCTGTTGCGTACTATAGGCCCTCACCCTATAATCTCCCACCACACATTTCTCATGCTCATTTGCCAATGCGGATTCCGACTTCACTTCCCCCTTTTACACAGATGGGAAGTGGCCTGGAGTCTGCGGTCGCAACAAGCAATGCGTCTGTGTTCTCCAACTTACAGGAAATGATGTCATCACAGCAGAATCTTTCAACAGCCAATCACATGCCAGTAAATTCACCGACCGCTTCGTCACCACAGCGGCTCACCAACTGATGTGTTTACTGTCTGTGTTTGCTCTTTTGTTGCATTATACTGTGTCAACTTAAATTCTTAATGGCAATAGATTTCTATCTGAATATAAATTTGTAAATCAGAAATCACGTTCTGACAAACAAATTTCGTCTAATCTTATGTTAAAAACTTTCCATAATTTTGTTATGATTATAAATATTTTTGTTATGTAATAACTACAGCAAGTTATTGGTCGTTCTGTAAGAACCCTTATCGTAATGATAATTGATAATTGATAACAGCATGCAGCAATTTTCAATTTTAATTGCCTGAATAATATTGGATATATTCATAGAACCATTTCTTACTACTAGCATAAGATTATGATGATAAAGTTGGAGTGATTTTTTTTAAATTTACAATTATGTAATCCATCAAGACTTCTTTTGAGTATAAGTCTATTTACACAGAACTAGATTTAATATTCAAGAAATCTTGCAACATTGATTTTCAAAGTAATTTTTTGTCATAACAGAATGGAAAGAACCCTGGAAATTTTTAATTCGCTGTGGATCTACTACTGCAGATTGTAATGGAGTGAATCCTGAATGTATTGGTGTATACACTGTTGCCATGTTATGTGATATCAAGTTTTTATATAAGATTATATACTTGTTCAATGCTTTTTACAGGGTTTCTCCGTAAAGAAATTCTTGATTTTTGTAATGGGAAAATGTGCTTACAAAATTTTGTTTATATTCCTTTTTTTAAACCAGATTTCTTTTAGAATATCTGCATATTTTATGAAAATAGTGCTTATATATATTTTTCAAAATGTTTTTCTCACCTTTCTTGTTCAGAAATTATTTTATGTCGATCATAGATTTTAGAATGTGTGTGTGAGTATTCTGTGTAATGTTGCTGTCTCTTGCTTTAAGTAACATTTGTAGGTCATGCTTTAACTGTTAAAGGTCATGTGCAATATGTATATACTGACAGTCAAAAATGGTGTCAGGAAAAAATTGAAGCTGAGGTTACCCAATTACTTCCTTGTTTATCCAGACATTTGTATGATAAAAATACATAAACATATGCTCTATTTTCATTAGGTGTATACTTCATTAAGAAATTACCATAAATTTCATTAATTGTTGAAACAAATTTAATGTATATACTACTTTTAAGTATTTAAAATCTCCAGAGTTTAAATTTCAGATCAAGTGAAACATAGATAGTAAAGGGAGATAATTTTTTTCAATGTTAAGAAAACTCCTTGTTGTCAGATTTACTTACAGGGTTAATTAATTTAAAATCTTAATGTTAGGCTACTATATGTACTTGATGGAAAAAAAATTCATTTTATGGGAAGATTAAAAGTGTTTCTAGAATGAGAATCAATTTTTTTATTTAAGAGTAATTTGGCATCTTGTTTTTTATCAAAATTAATTTTTGTTTTCTGTCATGCAATATTCTTCCATAGCATTTGTGCTTAAATAGGATGTGATTACATGGTAAAATTTATTGTGCTTTTTAGCTTTAATTTCTGGGTACTCTAATTGTGGTATTTTGGTTCCCCAGTATAAGTATATGTCCATTCCTACCTGTGGTAGATGTCACAGTGGATTATCTCCCCTTATTCTGTTATACCATTAAATCTGCATGTTTGTCTATGTAGCTGTCATTTTTGGCTATCTTTACATGTTTTTTTCTGTCTGTTTCATTTTGGCAATATCTATATGTGGCACGATTCTTTGCCCATCTCTTTTGAATCAAGTTTCTTTGTGAGTCAGTGGCATAATTGCAAGCAAGTTCTAGTAAATTTAAGAAAATTTTTCTTTGATATGTTTGAAGACTATGTTTGAAGACTTCATCTTTGACTTTGAAGAGTTTTTACTGTAATAGTCCCCCACTTGTATCAGGATGCAGGACTAGGTTTTGAATACCGTTATCTGTTAGTAAGTCTTAAAGTACATCATATGCTGCAAATTTTATTTACATTCTCACTTAAAACTTAGGATTACAAGTTTGGTTTATTTTCATACTTAAATTTGGTCGTATTCCCCATGGAGTTGTGGACCTTTGTTTGTAATATCCACCTGGTATATCCCATTGTTTCACTAATCATTGCCAAATATTACCCAGGAGCTTGGGACTATGAATTGCTTGCAAATCTCTGAATTGATTGTTAGAAAAAAAAAAGAAAAAATGAGAAAAAAATAATACAATGGGAAGTATTATAGGGTAAATATTAATGATAGATTTGCATTGAAATTAGCAAGTATGTTTAAATGATAAATGAATATTTCCAAAAATTTGATTGATGAGCATATGTTAATGAAGCCGGATTACTATGATGGAGAAATATTAATCTGTCAAGATGATTAAAAAAAATCATCAAAAAAATAAAAGTTTGTAATTGCAAAACATTAAGAAAAAAAAAAAAATGAGATAGAAGATGACAAATTTTAAATATGGCTGTCAAAGTAATATTGATTGATATCTATCAGGTAATGTCAATGATTGTTAAAATTAGGTGATACATGCAGTGTACTGTTAATGTTGTAATAGAAATGAATTTTAATAAGAAAAATGTTAATGATATTAACGAGATATATTGATGGATATTAATAATGTTATATGTTAATGAGATAATATCAGTGAATATTCATAAGAAAATATTAATGATAACAGATAAAACATAATGAACATAATTGATGAATATTAATGCAGTGGTATTGATGAATATTAATGAGGTAATATTTATGAATATTAATAAGCAGGTATTGATGAATAGTGATGTCTGGTATCAATTAATATTAACACAATGGTACTGATAAATATTAATGAGATAATATTTGATGAGTATTAATGAGGTGGTATCGATGAAGATTAATGAGATATTGTTAATGATAGAAGTTTTACAATCACTAAATATCACTTATGAAGTGCAGAAAGCACTTCAAGCAGTGATACAACTTCACATTAATACAGCGACATGCTCCTGGTTTGGTAGATAAAAAAGAAGTTATGATAAAGATTTATTATTAAGAAATTTTTGATTTATTTGATAAAGTAGTAAAGTATTAACAAATAATTTATAAGTTTCTTCAGCTTTGTAAACAAATGTGTAATTTCTCACTTGTTATATTTCTCTGCTTCTTTGATTTCTTAATGCAAAATGGATTGATTTAAAACTACTCTGTAAGTTAGTGATGTGTTCAAATTCCATCATGCCTCATTATAAAAACTAGAATGATCTCAACAGAAATATGGAATTGATGAATTATTCGTTTTCATTTCAACATATTTCTAAGTGGTTGTTGTTGTATTCAGCTACTTGTTGTCTTTTTGCCAACATAAGTATATTATAAGTTGGTGTGACAACATTTTGAAATAATAAATAAAACTTGTTTATTTCATAATTTGTTTCAATTAAAGATAACATATATACGTATATCTAAATAAATGGTTGTTTTAAGGAATGTTTGTTGGGATAAAATAAATACTATTTCCCAGCACAATATATACTAAAACTACACTCGGAGCAGCTATGATGTCCTTTTGTACTGTAGTAGTATATCAAATATAAAAATTTGTACTAATTAAATGTGATATTTATGATATCACACCTAGAATCTCAATGTACATTAATGTTTCAATTGTAACTTGATGATAATTTTATCACAGCATTTGAATATTTCTTTTTCAAAAACCCATCAGTTGTACACTTCCAAGTATTTATGTTATATATGGTAACTTTGAAGTTTTAGCTTTTGTTTGTATTAAGATAGAGCTCCAGCCTGTCAAAAAGATGAAATATTTTGGTCGGCATTTTCTCTTAAGATATTTTGAAGGTGAACTTGCTGTTTCACTGAAACCTGTATGACAGGTAAACGTTCAGTGAACATGCTATTTCTCTGAAACCTGTATGACAGGTAACACATTCAGTGAACATGCTGTTTCCCTGAAACCTGTATGACAGGTAAACATTCAGTGAACATGCTGTTTCTCTGTTTGGATAAAACATAGAATATAATTCATAAGTACTTGAATCTAACTCGTGATTAATACATAGAGCCTTTATCACTTTCAAGTTAACATTTTGCTTCTATCAATATGGTGACTTGTTGTCAACAAAAATTATGCTTCACCATGGTGATTTATTGTTGACAAACACTATGCTTCACCATGGTGATTTATTGTTGACAAACACTATGCTTCACCATGGTGATTTATTGTTGACAAACACTATGCTTCACCATTGTGATTTATTGTTGACAAACACTATGCTTCACCATGGTGATTTATTGTTGACAAACACTATGCTTCACCATGGTGATTTATTGTTGACAAACACTATGCTTCACCATTGTGATTTATTGTTGACAAACACTCTGCTTCACCATGGTGATTTATTGTTGACAAACACTATGCTTCACCATGGTGATTTATTGTTGACAAACACTCTGCTTCACCATGGTGATTTATTGTTGACAAACACTATGCTTCACCATGGTAACTTGTTTTTGACAAACATTGTGCTTTACCATGGTGACTTGTAAGCAAACTTGCTTCACCATGTTGACTGGTAGTTGTCAAACATTATGCTTCACAATGGTGACTAGTTGTTGACAAACGTGCTTTACCATAGTGACTTGGTGTCGACAAACACGCTTGACCATGGTGACATAACATACCATATGTCAAGGTTTCATGTTTAATCAGTGATAACTTCCAATAGATTGTACTTAATACAACACTTTAAATTAAAATATTTTAACTTTGTGAATTATAAAAGAAGTTCAAATGGTTATTTCCACTGGTCAGAAAACAATGGCAGCTTTGATTTTGAATCATTTGAAAGATAAAGGATTTAAACTGATAGTAGATATAACATATTTAAAAATCCTTCTTTTACAATTTAAAGTCAAGGTATATCTAAATGAGATGTTGCTTTTTCAATATTTATTTTCATTAATCAGAAATGGTAATGAGTTAAGCAGATGTCAGGTATATTGAATATGTTGTTTTGGCATAAATTC